TCTCTCTCTCTCTCTCATCACATGTTATATAACATATTCTGTTTTATTTATTATCGATTCTAACATATTATATAACATTATACTGTATAATAGGCAACAGAATCGGTATTACAGTTAAATTGTGTACACTATTCACAAGTACTGTATGTAAAGTATAGTGAAAAATGATTACATAAATTGTTAATACATTACTCATTAAGAATTAACTAATTATATAATTGTTTTTACGACAGTTTAGTGGAAAATATGAGAAAATCCATATTTCAAAATGAAAAATTCAATTCAAAATCAAATCAATTGACAAAACTATGGGAATTGACTAACTTTTGGTTTCTTATAAATACCTCAAAGTTTGTGGAGTTTATAAAAATGTACGTCAAATACAAGTATTTGTATTTCAATAAAACACTTTTAGATTGAATTCAATGAATTGATGGCTGTTTCGTGGGAACTGCTATTTCGGTGACAATCGACTGGTGGCCCAACACTTGCTATTCACTCACTGCTGGCGATATAACCACAGAATATCATATTTAATACTATTTCAAGTTCTTCGCAGAGATAATGTGTGTCTGTTTTTCAAAGAGACAACAAATTAAGCCAATCATACAATTTGTTTCATTGATAGCACCACTAATGCCGACCCCCTCTCCCCCTCTCGTCAATGAGTTGTGAGGATAGACATACAGTCGCCGCCGTTTATCTAGATTTAAAGCACACGTACACACAAATCACAATATAATTAACACTTGATTAGTAAATGCAATTTATAACTCGGCAAACACTACATGTATACCGTAATTACAAGTGTTCCCATTAACGATAGTGTATTGTCATTAGTAGAACAGACGAGAGTTTTACTGTATTTGCCAAAAGGATTTTACTTTTTTTTAATTTAAAACAAATGTTTAGTTTAAAAATCAAATCTTGCAAAACATATAATGATTTATTTTGCCGATCAAATGATTCTTCAGATTTCTTGCGATGGCCTTCAATGGCAAACACCGGCTATTGATTGGAGACTTTAATCAATATATTTTGATAACAAAAAATCCGATACAAAACATTATGCGAGAACCGATAATGCACTCAATACTCTCTCTCTCTCTCTCTCTCTGAGCAAATATTATTCAATAATTACTTAACGATTAGTGTCTCTTTTCAACATAACTTATCAAACAATCACATCATTATTGAAACCAATCACTCAGTTATTGATTTTTATAACTATTTTTTATGTAAACATATTATTATTTTATGGAAAAAATGAATCAAAAAATATTTTCATAAAATATTCGCAGAAATTCAAAGAGAGATGCGATTAAACAAAACAATAGAAAAAACTTTACAACAAAATGTCACAAAAATGTGGTTTTAAAAAGTATTTTAAAAATTGAAATCTATAGCGAAATATTTCAATCGTTATCGTATATAAAAAAGACTAATTATAAATATAATGACTAATTAAATATCAATTTATAAAAAACATTAGAATTTAATTATAAATTTTTAGTACTAAATAAAGACTGAATGGAAAAGAATAACAAACAAACAAATAATTAAATTAAATACTCTTATCGTTTAGTCTAATGAATAATTTAAAGCACAAAACAAAAAACAAACACAAGTTTTGATTGCATTTATTTAAATAGGAAACTATAGGGATAGCCCTGAGCTTTGCTCCGGAATATCGATATGAGTGAACTGAAGAACACGGCCACCAAACCCATGCCTACGATCGCCATAACTGTTTCAAGGATTAGACACAAAACACATTTGATTAACGATTCAAATCAAAGTATTGGCAATTAATGAACGATATATGACATAATCACGTAATGCCATACAATATGGTGTTTATACATATAATGGTAACAAATGTTTAACACAACAAAAATAATTTCAATAATTACTTTTGCGTTTCTTTGAGTCTCCCTTTCCTTTCATCGCTTCGTTCATCAAAATCATACCGAAAGCGATCGCAGCGTCTGTTTCAGTAATCAATACCACATTTAATTGATTTTATTATCATTTAATTTATATATCGTATTGAAAACTCACTTAATATGAATATAATGTACGTCTCGATCACAAACTGTCCGCTACTACTGCCGTGAATATAAGATACGCCGCGGTTTGTCCGGTGCATCAGTGGTGGTCCCCGGATATGGTTCCACATCTGGCCCGACGTCATCGCCAATACAATTGACTACAAAATAACATACAAAACAATTAGTGACACTTAAAATGGACACATTATTAAGTAAATGATAGGTTTGTATGTATAAACTCATGTGTATAAGAGCGGTGCGGGTAGGGGTGCGGGTATGAGTGGTGTTACTCACGAGAGCGGCCAACGCCCAAGAGGTGCGGTTATAGAGAAAGTCGAGATTGTTTCGGCGCATATAGAGTAGAGCACCGATGAGTGCGAAGAGTATCAATAGGGCTAACGTTCCCGAATAGTTTGGCGGACGTATGACCCGAATCTGAATGTCGGTCTTCTCTTGGACCCAACGGGCGATGGTTTCTGCGCCGAAACCGATGCGTTGAATGTCCATCTGTTCGGGCGCTTTAGGCTTTCCCTTCTCAGAGAAGTACAGGAATACGGGCGCGGAGTTGAGCTGAAGTGACTGAAACACATCCGACCCCTCGTCGTAGTCAATGACGCCGAAGAACAGACGCGACGAGAATTGGCCGGAATAGCGCCAAGAGTTGGCCACTATCTGGAACTCATCGCTCGCTTGACGACAGATAGAGCACTGCCTCTGCGGTGACAGCGCTGTCATCATCACTACAAACGAGTAGTTCCGTGGCTGACTCTTCGAGCCGATCCACTGCTTGAATTTGTCTCCATTCAGACGTATTGTCGGTCTCTTCAGCGACAGATCCGTCAGCTGTTGGACGCGTTCGCCGAGCGTTTGCTGCGGTCGTCGCGTATCATAAGTGGTGTTGTGTTTAGTGTCACCAATAGTTGATCCCATGGATAGGAGAGACAAACACATAAATGAGTCATCAGATGAAGTGATACTTTGCCGGCAGTGGCCGTAAACCACTGCAAACACACACAACACATACCTCTTTCTTTTTGGCCACCGATGAGACAGTTGTGGACATAAGGGTCGCCACAATCACGACCGCCAAACACGTGTCCGTCAGTAGTCTTGCGTTCATTTCTTTGCCCACAATTCGTGTCAATCAATGTCTGGAGAAAACAATTCAAAGAAATCAATCGATTGTAAACATCGGTACACGTCGTCCGCACAACACATACACTCAACGCCTTCACAAACAACGTTACGATTAATGCCTTATTTATTGCCCCAATACACGAGTTGTTAATTTGTTGACTAACTTTGACTATAGTTTTCAAATCATCTCTCCTCCACCCCCTCTAACAAAAAGCGATTGAATTTGTGAATATTATATACTAATATACTCTACAGTAATGTATATATTTTAGCGCAACATTTAAATAATTATAAAACAAAATAATATGTGAACACAAATTGTAGTTTAATATAAGTTATTATATTTATAACTATAATTGCAATCAAATCAATATAAAGAGTATTTTTTGATAATCATTTATTTATACATATAATTGTTGTTTTTATTATAATTAAAAACTTATTTGTAATCAAATATATATTTAAGAATATGTTTTAAGAAATTGATATTAAGTACTGAATAAGCCGTTAAATAATATAATGAATTATAAAATACTCATTAAAATGCATATAAAATACCGATGAAAACCGATTTTTAAAAATAAGTAATATTACTATTAAGTAAAAGTCTCATTCATTAGTGACTCATTAGGGCCGGCGGCCTGTCTATAGCGGGCCGGGGGTTCGTCCCACACCGCAGATGACGTGCGTTTGGCGTACTTCGGGTGAATCGGGCGTTTCGGGAACATCAGCTCAAACTCAACCTTAAACCGGTTGAGCAGAGCGTCGCCGGAGCCGAACACACCTTTGATCTCTTTGTACAACTCTTTGTAGGGCCGACTGTACTGTTGGTGAACCTGTTTGATAAACATGTGCCCTCTCGCCCACCCGGGAATGCGTTTGCGGGGCTGTTGGTCGTCGTCCGTGTCGTCATCCGATGCTATTTGGCTGATGTCGTAGTTGTCGTACGAGTGCTCTTTGGGCGGCGGAGTCATGTCGTAACTGGAAGTGTCCATTACGTACGTCTCGTTGGGCGCGTCCGGCTTAGTGTACGTCTGGTTCGGGTCGCTCTTCGTGGCCGCCGTCTCAACCGGCGAACGGTTGGCCGCAGTGGCGATAGGGGTCGGCTCTTTGGGCGCTATTATTTGCGGCGGCATATGTTTGGCCGTCAACTCTGGGCTGAGTTTAGTGAGCACTACTTTGGGCACCGGTTGAGTGACAGCAGCGGTGGCCGCGGCAACAGTGGTGGACGACTCGCCGACCGCGCACTTCTTGATGAACGAGTTGGCCATCGCTTTCTGTTGAAGACTATTGTTGTGATGCTGTATGAGAGCAGCCATGCGTTCCTGTTCTCGTTGGCGCTCGCGTTCGGCCTCCTGTTTGCGCGACAACTCTTCCCGCCGTCTCATCTGAGCCTCCATTTCCTTCTGTTCCTGCAATTGCTTTCGGCGCTCAGTTTCGCGTGTCTTTTGTTGCAACTCTTCGTGTTTGCGGCGCAACAGTTCCCGGCGCTCCTCTTCGCGCTTCCGTTCCCACTCTTCGCGGCGCTCCTGTTCTTTGCGCAGCCGTTCCGACTCCTTCTTGGCGTTCAACTCCCGGAGTTCTGCCGCGCGGTTCGCCTTCTCCTGAGACTTCTGCTTCTTCTCGGACACCGACTGCTCGATGAGTATCCGGCGCTTCTCTATCGCCCGCTTTTCCTTCTCCTGCGACGCCATCAGTCGCTGTCGGCGCTGATCCTCCGCCTCCAGACGCTTCTTCATCGCGCTGTCGGTCAACGACTTAGTGTCCGGCGCTTTACCGCCGCCAGGCTGTTGAACGCGTGAGTACGAGCGCACCGATCGGGCCGACGAACCACAACCAGCGGTCATGGGTTTACCACCGCTGGTCGCACCGCCTCCAGAGTGATAACCACTAGTGGCGGCGGCGCTCTCTCTTTGAGCGATCAATCGATTGGCCACTTGTGGCGTCTTTTGAGAGGAATCGGCAATTCTGGAGAGCATACGGGTCTGCGCTCGTGTCGATCGCTGTGTGGTCTGTGGCGTGAAGTACAACGACTTCTTACGCGTCTCTTTGGCCGCCGAACTCGTATTCAATGTCTTGTTTATCAACGAAACGTTTGTTGAGCTCTTTTTGGTCCCGTTCTTGGCGTCAAAGAACACTTCGGTATCCTTTTTGGGTGTCTTCTGAGACGCCGGACAGTCTTCGTCGTCAGTCATCCACTCGTTCTCCGATTCGTTCAATTTGTTGACCATTTTATTGGTGTCTTCGCTGATCGACAGCTCAGACATCATTTCAGACGCCGTCAACAGTTTTGGCGAATCTATATCTTCGGTGCGGATCTCATTGGCTTTGGTGGTCATCACTGGAGGCCTATTCTCGTCCTCAATGTCAACCATTTCGACAGATATCTTATGGTTAGACACAACACATGTCATCAAAGAGTCCAAACTCTTCACACAAGCGTCGGTTACATCGACGGCCACTTTAGAGGCGACAGCAGTCGTGTCCATCATCTCGTCGACAGTGGTGTCCAACTGAATGGTCGACCGTTTGGCTCGTTTGCTGAGACGGCGTGGAGTGACGGCAACGGACGGGTCGCGCGTCTTGAGGGCGACGGCCGCAGCGTTTGACCGCTTTTTACACGTCGACGAGTTTAGCGCCAGATGTCTGGCAGTGGCCGCCGACGAGCGCTTCCGTTTGCTTAGCCGACGGGCGCGAGAGGGCGTCCGCAACACTCGGCTGTCATTGATGTCGCTATTAAACAATGAGAAAGCCATTGAAGTCATCATTATATCACCGATGGAAGTGATGGTTTAGTTGTAGTGTTGCCGAAGACTTACGTCTGGATGTATTCGGCCATCTGTTTGGCCGACTCTATGATGAAAGCGATCATCTCGTTGTGAGCGGAGACCAAACCGCGCCACTCGTGCACCACTTTGTCGCTGGTGTGACCACTGATCACATAGTGGTCATCGTTGGCCACAAACGTACCCATTGTTGCGATGAGACAATCGATGGTCAGGTGTTGTTGTGGTGATAATGGGATGTGTTGTGTGTGTTGTCTGTTATAGAGCTCTCCTATGAACACAAAAATGCGCCCAAAATTGAACACAATATGACAGTCACGTGACCCACAAGTGAAGCCCTGTTCATACATTACGTGCCAAATATAAGCGCTAATAAAATAAGTTACTATTACTATTAATATTTTAAATAACATATAATTGGTTTGATTTACGACCAAATTAGTGGCCGACGGGACGTATCGGTCAGCACTTTATAGCCGAGAGAACACACATTATTTACGTATTATTCATTTATTCATAATTAATTACAACATATGTTTGAAGACATAAATACAAAAAAGACATTTAACACTAATTATGTGGAATTGTTTCCCGAATTGTTGCCCGAATCTGATCCCGAGTCGGGCGGGCGAGTGATGAAAGCGTTTACTTCGTATACGTTATTAATGATTAGAGACAACTCAGCGATGGCCAGCTTCTCGGGCTCAGACATACTTCCACTCTTTGCGGCCGAACGACACTTTCTCAACACTACTTCCAATCGGTGGACGAACTCTTCGTACAGATCAGTCACGTCTGCAAATATAAGCCCAGGGGTCACATCATGTCGACCGCGAGCGGCCAAAAAAGCCACTAATCCTGTATTAAGTGCAGCGATACTCCTATTAATGAAATACAATTAATATTATAATTAACAACAAATGCAAATTATATTACTCTTGATTGAGACCTAATGTCTGACACACGGTGTCCACCAATTGGACGCTATAAGAGGCGAGCGTTTCAATCCAATTCATAAACCTATCCATCGTTTGAGTCGATGTCTGCCAACTGTTTCTAATAGCTCTCATCAACAGTTGATTACCACAAACTCTACGCCTATCTCTGCGCTCAATACTAACGCCACTACTAATGCAATGCATTGTATGACTCGTATTGTTAGACATTTTCACCATTAATTGGACACTAAATTAGTTCAACACTTATTATCAGATCAAACACTCAATGTTTACGATTATCAACAATGAGTTCACAAACAACGTTACCATTCAGTGCTGGGGAGGAGTGGAGGGGCAGACAAGTGGTTCATAAATAACGTCAAACTCATTGTTGTTGTAGTTGTGATACAATCGTTGACCGAATGGCCAGAATTGCCACAAAACGCCGACACTCTGGCGACCAGTCTTTAGATACCGATCGTAATCATGAGTTAGTGATGGATTCGACCGGTGGTGACAGCTCTGGTCCGGCGGCGGACGTGCGCTCGCGTTTGTGTCCCTACTTAGACACCATCAACAGAGGTGTCCTCGACTTCGACTTCGAGAAACTCTGTTCCGTCTCTTTGTCTC